AAGGAATGCCTGGCTTAAGCACAGGACGGGCAGTTCTAACGCTGACTGCCACCACCCCTGGTCAGCTGGAACGCATCCTGCCCAAGGGGTTCCACGCCCAGGGATCCCAGGCACAAATACCAAGGAGAGGCCAGGCAGGAGGGCCGGCCAGACACACAGCGGCTGGGGGGGTAGCCACCCTCGGACTGCCCTCCTGAGGGAGCCCCACCCTCGAGCTGCGTCCTGCAGGCAGGCCATGGAGCAGGGAGGGAGGGGGTTACGTGCCTGGGGTTGCATCCTGCCCAAGGGGTTCCACGCCCAGGGATCCCAGGCACAAATACCAAGGAGAGGCCAGGCAGGAGGGCCGGCCAGACACACAGCGGCTGGGGGGGTAGCCACCCTCGGACTGCCCTCCTGAGGGAGCCCCACCCTCGAGCTGCGTCCTGCAGGCAGGCCATGGAGCAGGGAGGGAGGGGGTTACGTGCCTGGGGTTTCACACAGCTGTCAGCTCCCTGACTCTCAGCTTAGCCACAGTGACCCGCTTCCCCTTGTCTCCCACCATCAGCTGCTGCCGTGCTGCTTCCCCTCCGGCCAAGTGTGAACCGGAGGCTGCAGGGAGCTACAACACCTTGGCCTGACAGTTTCCATCACAGCCAGCCCTCCCCCATTGCCCCCCCTCGCGTGGGAGCACTCTTCTCTGCTGCAGAGAGCCAGGGCTGGCAGCTGAGAGAGGTGGGGGGTAAGCCCAGCCCCCCAAGTCTCATGGGTTTCAAATAGGAGGCTGGTGGCCCTGCTGGCTCCTTAGGAAAATAGGAGGGGAGGGGAGGACTCTGGGAAAAGGGGCCATGTCTGGCGCAGAAGAAGAGGGTATGGCCCAGCTGAGGGGGGCCGTGGAACAGCCCTGGCCGCTTCTCTGCCCCCGGACAGGGAGCCTTCCCTCCTGCCTTGCCCCCCCAGCAGGGCAGCACACGGGGCCGCAGCTGGAGAGGACAGGAGGCGGCCAACAGAACCAAGGGGACTTCAGAAGCAATAAGGCCAGGCCAGTGGAATAAAAAACAGGCCCCAGCTCCTTTAATGCCCACGCAGAAGCAGGACTGGCCCAAGGAGAGAGGCCTCGCTAGTCTCTGTGGCCAGGCCGGGCCTGCTCAGTGTCCAGCCAGCTGGGCTGGGACCTCGGGACAGACCAGGGTCCCTGGAGAGCTTTCCGGACAGACAGCTGCTGGCGACAGGCAGGACCGGCTTCCTCTGCCCAGCAAACAGGCCAAGGCCTGCTGGGGTCCGTGTGCTGCCAGAGAGCAGCTGGCAGGCTCCGGGTGATTCCCCGTCCCCGCAGAGCCCGGCAGAGGATCCGGTGGGCACAGGCTGCGCATCGCACCAGGCAGCGGGGGACGTGCCATCCAGCTGGGAGCGACACCTCCCCAAACGGTCCTTGCTCTTGTCTCATGCCCCCTGCTGGTTGGTCTCGTCATCGTCCCGCCTCTTCCAGATCTGCCAAGAGAAAGGAAGCCAGTCACTCTAGGGTTCACTCCCCCCCTCGACCGTGCTCAGGACGGCAGCCAGGAGCCAGACTCTGACTTAACACGGACTCGCAGTGATCTCGGGCAAGGCCCTTCTGTTCCTCAGTTTCCCCATCTGTAATGTGGGGATACCCCCCCCTACTTACCAGAGAACCCCCCCCGGACCCGTGCAGTAGCATTTAACTTCAGCAAGGGGAACCACACAGAAAGGAGGAAGCTTGTTAGACAGAAATGAAAAGAAACAGGCATAAGGGTGAAATGTCTGAATCAAGACAATGTAAAAGCATCATATTTGAGGTTCAAACTAATCGTGTACCCCAAAGTGAAATTAACAAGAGCACCGAAACGCTGCCCCTGGCGCTGAACAGCAGAGAGGCAAAAAGCGCCCTTTAAAAACTGGAATGAAATGACTCAAGCGATGCCAAGAGAAATGGAAAAGACCAAGAGCGAGTGAGCTAAGAGCAAACAAGCCCCCGATCCCTCCGAAGCAGGAAGCCTGCCCGACAGCCAGCAGGGTTGGAGGCTGAGACTCGAGGAAAACAAGGCCGCTGTGGGGAAGCTAAATGAATCTGTGGCACCCATCTCCACTGCAGAGGGTGTGGGGGAGACCTGTCATGAGTGGTTCTTAGGAGAGACGGCTGAGGAGCTGTCCAAGAGGTGCCAGCTTGGGGGGGTTTCAGTCCCCAGATCTCACCGAGATGCGGAGGACTCAAATACGAAATTAGAGCTGCCAACCGTGCCGTGTGCCTTAGTGCTCAACCCAGCCCCTGGGCCAGAGCGCTGGAGGGCAGCTAACACTGGGGGGTGTTTTTAAAAAAGCTCCAGAAGTGACCTGGCCATGGCAACCCAGTCAGCAGATGCTCCGACTGCGAGAAACACGCTAGGCTGGGAAGGCCGATGTTACTGGTGTGGGATGCAGGTCGCTGGTCCAGGTCACTGTTGCAACTGCTGTTCTACATCTGCACCAACTCCTGCAGCAAATGGGCCACATGAGGTGTCTTCAGAAAGCTGCCGAGTCACCGATTCCGTGGATGCTGTTTGTGGGCATGTATCGTTCTGGTACTTGGAGAAATGACCATTCGCCTGGTGTCTATTTCCACGGCTAGCTCCTGGAGTTACCACAGAGCAGCCAGCCACCATGGCCAGGAAGGGCTGCTCAGGCTGCTGGGCCCAGCAAGGAGCTTTCCACGAGCAACGGGGCCCAGGAGGCACCAGCTGCATTGACTGGACTGTCCTGCAAAGCTTCTGTCTGGGAGGTGGGCCCTGGCCCCCGCAAGCCCACAAGACTCCATAGATTTGTGTTCGTCTCAGGACTGACTCAGTTTTTTAAAGTGACAGATGAAGACAGCTCCCCCCGGGTGCAGAAAAGAGCGAGGCACGCCAATGAGCGACAGGCCCATCAACAGCCACTAGCTCAGGGTGTCCGTAAGCCTTGGACAGCCAGACGCTGGGAATGGGTCACTGCCCTGTTCTCGTCATTCCCTCTGGGACACAGGCCGACAGCCCGCAAGCTAGCGCACCGCTAGGCAGGCTGGGGGTCTTGGTGGTCACTAGGCCCGCGGACAGACTAGACTGAAGCACAAGCCGGGCTTCTGGAGAAGTGGAGGCAATCCGAATGGTAGGAGTTTCCTTACGGCTCTTTAGGTGTGAACCTGCAAAGAGATGGTTCCGGTGTGTTTCTAAGCCCATTGATTCAAAGAGCCACGGCAATACTGACGTGGCCAAGGCTGGGTGTAAGAGCTTCATTGCTGCCACCGCTCTTGGGCGCTGGCAGCAAACGGTCTGGGAACAGCTTCATGAACAGTTACCTTGTGCTGACGAATGCAGCCAGCGGCCTGTGTGCACGCAGGAAGGAGGTGGATCCTGTTCCATCAATGAACATGGATTTCCAGGGACCCTGTCTGACCTGGCTGTCTGGGCAGTCCCCAGAGCTGGGGTGCTGTAAGGATCCTGTGTGTTTGGCTGCTGGGGAACTAGGAAGGGACTGGAGAAGCTCTTCTGTTGCTGACTTGCTGGATCTCAGTGTTAGGGCGATCGTCTGCCCCACTCTACAGTTTGCCCTGACTGAGCAGTCTCAGTGTGGCCCCGCACTCCCCTCTGGAGCACCTGGCATTGGCCAGTATTGGAGACAAGCTGGGCTGGATGGACCCTCAGTCTGACCCCTGTGGTCGTCCTGAGCCTGCGGAGCCCGGAACTGAACCAGGCGCTCGAACCGCAGGCTAGTGACCTGATCACTGGGCAGCCCTGCCACCCTCGGAGCAGCACAGATGAGCAGCACTAGGATACAGGCTGCACCTCCTGGGACCGCCCCCCCATGCTTTATGAAACTGATTTATGGACACACACGTGTCACTCACAGGTGCTTTGGACAAAATACCGCATGTCACCTGTCAATCTGCACGCCTGTCCGCTGGGTCTGCACAGCTCATTGGGGGGCACGTACCATTCTCGAATGCACTCAGAAATATGGGGCAGGGAATGTTGATGGTTTTAAATGTGCACATGAAGCCATCCAGGGTGTTTCCCTCGAAGTCTGGGTGATCACCTGTAAAAGCCCCTTTGGCTGGCCTTAGGATTTCATGCCACCTCTCTACCTGGTAGGCTCTGGTCAGGTAATTTTCCAAGGAAGGGTGGAATGTAGAGACCAAGAATTTCCGCCTAAAAAGGAGGCGATTTAAGATGCAAAGTTTTCAGGCTTTTGTCTGTAGCTGGCAGGTCACTCCCAAGAAAATGAACCAGAGACCCCAGGGGGAAAAGACCTGCCCTGGAGCTGACATAGGAACAGTTTTAGGGGGAGTCTGTGCTGAGCTTTCAGAGTGAGAACCAGCGACCTGGTTTCTGTGATTTTCAATTTGTAATCTACTTTGCTCTGCCTGCTCTCACTCGCAACCAGTTAAATCCCATGGCTTGCGCTTCACAAACTCACTATTTACTACCAGCTGTTACCTGGGGGGCACCCTCTTTCATTGTTAAAGGGGGCTCACCTGAGTGGGGTTCAGATCCCCTTTGGGGGTGGGCTTCCTGGAAGCTGGGCCCGAAACTGCCTTCTCCTCAGACCTGAAGAGGTTCACTGTCTGTACTGGGGGGCGGTGACCTCAGCTCTGCCGTGGCTGGGGGTGACCGGGAGATCTGGCCCAGCAGGACAGGATGGTGAGAAGCCCCAGAGGCGGGTATCGGAATCTCGGTCCAAGGGATCATCTGTGACCACCCCCTTTCCCCTCCGTTACTGCTCCCTGCCTCAGGACACACAGGAGGCCTCTCTGTGGCCAGTGACTGAAATGTTTATCACCCATCACGTATCCCACTTGTGAACAGAGCCCATGGTTCCAGCCCCACCCCTGAGCAGAGCCGGATCTCTGCCTTGGGCAGGCTGCGCTGGAGGCCCAGAGTGGCAGCCACTAGCACTTGTGGGAACATGTCACACTCAACCCATAATCACACCCTCACCCGACACCTCCCAGAGATGAGGAATGACTCAGCACACCAAGCCCTCCTCCGCTCGCAGGGACCACCACTTCCTTTCCCAGGGCTGGGAGACAGCCTGGGCTGAGGAGAGTGTGCTAAGCCGGCTGCAGCACAAGCAAGTGTTCTTGAAATAGCTCTGCCATGGTGCGCAGACAGCCAGGCAATGCGCCATGGCCCCGCGCTGCCAGCTGGGAGCCCTGGGCAGGTCCCTCGGGCGCAGAACGAGCCCCGCGCAGGGGACCAGGCAGCGCACTCACCTGGATATAGGCTTCCGAGAGCGTTATCATCTGGGGCAGGATATCGGTCACCTGCAGGTCCTGCAGCTCGTACCACTTGCCTGTGCCCTGCCAGGGGGAGGAGGAAGGGGCAGGCGTTACTGTGGGCCGGTCCTGACACACCCTGTCTGGCCGTGCCATGGCAACGGCAAAGCATGCACCAGGCTCGTCCCCAGCGATCACCCCGTGGGCACAAGGTAACGAGGCCCCACGGCTGGCGCTCTGCGTGGCCAACACGTGGGCAGGGGGAGCGCCCCTGAAGGGCTATTCAGGGAGCAGAGCTTCTGGGGCAAGCCCCACGCGCTGCCTCAGCTGCTGGGCAGGCTGGAGCGCCAAGAGGGAGGCCAACTGGCTCCCCGCTACAGCAGCCGCGAGGGCAGCGAGCTAGCGGGACCCATTCTCTGCCCGGGGGAACGGCCCGTGGTGGGAGCGGTCGCCCCCAGGGAGTTCCGCACGCCGCTCCCACGCTGCTGGGGAACACCGAGCCCCGCCTGGCGGGCACCCACGTGATGCAGCACGTGGATCCGGTAGGAGCCCTCGGCAGGTTTCCCGTCGTGCACGATGTTGGCGATAAGGTCGTAGGTGGTGTTCTTGTGCACGGCCTGCACTTCCTCCGACAGGTACTCCCGCAGATCCACGTTCCTGCAGCAGGGAGAGCAGCACTGAGAGGCGGGCCCGCGCGCTGCGTGCCAACGACCCCGGGCTGGCGCTCCCTCGCCAGCGGAGAGAGCGGCCCCCACATGCCCCGGCTGTCGCTACGCAGGGCTGGAGCAGCCAGCAAGCAGGACGCGCTCTGGCCCAGACCAGCCTGCACAGGGCACTTCACCACTCGAGTGAAAAGACCGGACCAGGGAGTCGCTAAATGCCACAGCCCCGCTAGTCATGACCAGACGTGCCGTGCCCCCGCCCAGCACCCATTCCAACTGGGAGTCCCGCCCTGAAGTATAGATGAAGCCATCTCCATGCTGACACACAACACGCTGCCCCCCAAGCACCTCGCCCACAGGCCAGCCACCCACAACCCCGTGGAGGCAGGGAAGGCTCATCCCCATTTCCAGATGGGGAAACTGAGGCAGAGCAGGGAAGGGACATGCCCAGGGCCACGCATGGAGCTTATGGCAGAGCCAGTTACTGAGCCCAGGTCTGCGGAGTCCCAGGGAGGCGCTTCAGCCTCCAGCCCGTCCTTCCATCACCCAGCTGCCTGGTATCAGCACACGCCTGCCCGGTCTGCACACAGGGCGCTTGGCCAGGCCGTGTGTCCCCAAGTTCCGGCCAAACGGGCCCAGCGCAGCAGGGAGCAGCCGGCCAATAAAGCCCAGCAGCGTGCGATCTGCAGGACACCCAGAGGGAGCTGCAGCCGGGCCGGGCGGCACCTACGTGATGGGGAAGTTGACAATGGTCGGGTTCTTCTCCACAAAGAAGTTGTTCTTGGTGAACCTCTTGATGCAGAAGATGAGGTAGGGAGGCAGCTTGGTCAGCTGGAAGCGCTTGAGGAAATTCTCCTTGTAGGTTTTATACTCCTGGGGCAAGGACAGAGACAGCCCTCAGCAGCCAGGGCACAGGCACCCCAGAGGGAGGAGAAAACAGGAGGGCTGCAGAGCAGGCGAGTCCAACAGGGACGGGCGCCCCCCCGGGGCAGGAGGGCTGCAGAGCAGGCGAGTCCAACAGGGACGGGCGCCCCCCCGGGGCAGGAGGGCTGCAGAGCAGGCGAGTCCAACAGGGACGGGCGCCCCCCCGGGGCAGGAGGGCTGCAGAGCAGGCGAGTCCAACAGGGACGGGCGCCCCCCCGGGGCAGGAGGGCTGCAGAGCAGGCGAGTCCAACAGGGACGGGCGCCCCCCCGGGGCAGGAGGGCTGCAGAGCAGGCGAGTCCAACAGGGACGGGCGCCCCCCCGGGGCAGGAGGGCTGCAGAGCAGGCGAGTCCAACAGGGACGGGCGCCCCCCCGGGGCAGGAGGGCTGCAGAGCAGGCGAGTCCAACAGGGACGGGCGCCCCCTGGGCAGGAGGGCTGCGGAGCAGGCAAGTCCAACAGGGACTGGCGCCCCCTGGGCAGGAGGGCTGCAGAGCAGGCGAGTCCAACAGGGACGGGCGCCCCCTGGGCAGGAGGGCTGCGGAGCAGGCAAGTCCAACAGGGACTGGCGCCCCCTGGGCAGGAGGGCTGCAGAGCAGGCGAGTCCAACAGGGACGGGCGCCCCCTGGGCAGGAGGGCTGCGGAGCAGGCAAGTCCAACAGGGACTGGCGCCCCCTGGGCAGGAGGGCTGCAGAGCAGGCGAGTCCAACAGGGACGGGCGCCCCCTGGGCAGGAGGGCTGCGGAGCAGGCAAGTCCAACAGGGACTGGCGCCCCCTGGGCAGGAGGGCTGCAGAGCAGGCGAGTCTCCAACAGGGACTGGCGCCCCCTGGGCAGGAGGGCTGCAGAGCAGGCGAGTCCAACAGGGACGGGCGCCCCCCCGGGCAGGAGGGGTGCGGGGGAGGGAGAGCAAGTGAGCTGGGAGGGGCAGAGTTACCTTCTCTGTGATGCCATTGAACTTGGCCAGGATGTTGAAGAGTGGCACCTGGGGGATGATCAGCTGCTCCTTCTCGTCCTTGTACAGTGGGGCCGTGGGGAGGTCCAGGGTCAGGTACATGAAGGTGGATTCCACCATTGTCTCCTGGTACTCATCATTGTGCAGCAACTGCTCCTTCTCCTCGGCTGGCTGAGGGAGGTGGGACACAGGCACTGGGCTTAGCCCAGCGGAGCCCCACGGGACAGATGTTTGGGGAGATGGAGCCCAGAGTGAGCATGTCGTGAGCTGCCCCCAGCTAGTGCAAGTTTTCTCTAAGGCTGCGCTGCCATCCCAGCCCTGCTGCTACGCTGCACCCCAATACCCGGGCCCTGACCCGGCAGGACTTTCCTTGATGCATGAGGGCCTTGGCAAGGGGGAGCTTTGGAAGCGAACCAATTTCCACAGAATAACTCCAGTTCTGACCCCTCACTCGCAGCAGGGGAGGGGCTAGGACATCATGCACCACCAGCCCCATCACTAAATCCGGCCTGCTGCACAGCATCAAGTGTTCACCTCACGGCAGCCAGCTCCACGGGGGGGCTGCAGCCTTGCCGTTACCGCTACCTCCCCAGTGTAAGGAGCCCCATGATCTGAGATGGAGACACCAGAAATCGCAGCCCTGAGTTAACCTGCACAGGCACCACTGAGGGCAGCGATGGCTCATGGTCTCTTCCAATGGCTCAAATTCAAGGGACATGGTGTCTCAGGAGGGCCTGCGCGCTCTCGCTCTAGCAGCCCAGTAGTGACTCCGGCAGGCTACACAGCTTGCTCTGAAGCAGGGAGCTACAGCCACAGCGGCAGTCTGGGCTTGTGGCCCAACAGTTCCTGAGGCGTCGCTCTGTCGTACGAGCAGTCTCCATCATGGCTTCTCAGGGCATGCGTGGTCACAACCGCGGGTGACGTCTTCTGGCTGAAACCTCCCAGCTTGCAGCAGTAAACCTGCCTCTGGGCCGTCTACTTCGACCGCAAGCTTGTAAGGGGCAAGGACTGTTACTACGCGCCTTGAAACCTCCCAGCCAGCAGCAGTAAACCTGCCTCTGGGCCGTCTACTTCGACCGCAAGCTTGTAAGGGGCAAGGACTGTTACTACGCGCCTGAGCAGTGCCCAGCGGAGAACCACTGCAAGGACATACCACTGCGGATGTAAAATCCCATTTCATCAGTGAACCACTTAACCAGGATCCAGGGGGTGGGGGTGTCGCTCTGAAACCTCCCAGCCAGCAGCAGTAAACCTGCCTCTGGGCCGTCTACTTCGACCGCAAGCTTGTAAGGGGCAAGGACTGTTACTACGCGCCTGAGCAGTGCCCAGCGGAGAACCACTGCAAGGACATACCACTGCGGATGTAAAATCCCATTTCATCAGTGAACCACTTAACCAGGATCCAGGGGGTGGGGGTGTCGCTCTAGCCCAGCCAGGCCGCGGGTTAAGTGGTTACAGGTAAGCATCACCCGGCAGGCAGAACGCTTACCAGTTACATCCCACACCTGTACTGGAGAAGTGGGAAAGTTCCCTGTGCTGTTAAGGAAGGAAAGTGCCTCCTGCCCCTTTCAATGCAACACACTGCAGTGTGGCTACCTTAGAAGAGCTGCGTTAAGTTTTGGCACCATCTAGTGGCAACACTAACCCGACCCAAACAACTCCAAGAGAATCCTACGGCCGACACGGGGCCGTCTGCGTGCTCCCCAAGATGCACACAAACGAGGGGACGCGGGCAGGCTCTTCCTGTCTGGCCACGGCACTCTTACTGACGGAGAAGCAGGACTCTCAGAAACCATCCTCAGACCACTCCCCACACAACGGGCCAGCTGTCTCCCGGCACTCTGCAGCATTAATCATTTCCCGCAGCACCCCACGGATGTCGCCTCCCAAAGGCCACATCAGGGCCTGCCTCCAACATCTACAATTCCTGCCACCAATGCTCCCCTAGCAGCCACACTGTGCGCAAACCCCACAGGAACCCCCTGTGCCCAGAATGCCAACCGCTTCACGGGCCACCTTGATCCAGACCTTCTAGACAAATGCCCCACAAAGCCAATGAGATTCCCGATCCACCCTGATGAGATTTTCATCTTCGGGACAGGCGACCTAACACCACTCAAAATCCCACCAACGCCACGACAACCCCCAGTGGCCAGCTCTCTCAGGAAAGCTCCCAGCATCAGTGTCTACAGCGTGGCCTTACACACAGCTATGTACAAGAGCGCCACGTTTCTCTTCACTGACCACTCTCCTGGCCTTCCAACAACCCCCCCACCACCGAAACCAGCTCCCCACACACAGCAGCACCAGGCTCTGTGACTACATGCAAAACCAGCAGACACAGTACCAGTGCTAGGGTCAGTGCTCCCCACAGCCCCCCCTTTCCAGAGCCACAGGTCCTACATGTGCCTGGCACAGCATGTGGCATCTCATCCCACGCACAAAATGCCGCAACAGCAACTGTGGGAACCAGTGAGCGAGTGAGCTCCCAGCGTACTCCCCCGACAAGTGACAGAAGACCAACGTGCCATCCCCCGTGGGCACACACGGTTCACACAGCAACAGGTGATCTCTGTCCCCTCCCCAAGGCACCTGCATGGCCCCTTCAAAGGCAGCCTGGCAGAGAACTTTGCCAGACACTACAAACCAGGGACTACAGAGCCCTACGGCGGACAACGGCCTGTCTCTCCCTCACCCCCCCTGTCTCTCTCGTGTCTCTAAGCAGCTTCCGCCCCCTGTGCACGAACTGGGGGGGCATGAAGACAGGGGGCAGGCGTGGCAGGTCTGCCCTGACCCCGCATTACAATTGCCTTGGCTGTCCCGTCAGGAAGACTCCCTACTTCTTTCTCTGGCTCCGCGAAGGGCAGCGCAGGCACGTGGAGAACAGACGTCGGGGCGGTGATCTGCCTTCACCGTGGCTCCTCCAAGTGCCTGTGCAGCCACCACTAGAATTTCCCACAGCAGTGACACCCAGTAACAGGCTCGCTGGATGTGCATGTGCAGCACTGCCCCCGCCCCCAATGCAACCCACAGGATCTGCTGATCCAGGCCCTTCCATGTGTAAAGGATGGGTACAAACCCCGGGGCGGGACTCACCAGGTCAGGGTGTGGAAGCTTTTTGGTGAAGATCCGCATGGAGCCCTGGAACACGTCAGTCACAATGGCTGTGGAAATACACACCCAGAGCAAGGAATCGTTAACAGTGGCCAAGAGCAGCTCTGGTCTGGAAGCCCCTGGGAAGCCGGGCAGTGCTAATTCCCAAGTCAGGAAGCTCCTGCGAGTGACACGTCCAGAGGAGCGTGGGAAATGTGCGAGAGCCACACAGAGAACAGACTGTGGACGTGGCTGAGGGTCTCTTGCTGTGCCTGGCACATGGCACTGGCCAAAAAAGGAAGAGAATATGGAGAGAGCATGGGGCTGCCAGACAGCGGCTGCTCTGCTGAAATCAGCAGGGCTCCAGGGCCTGCAGCTGGATCTGCACAGGCAGGAGGTGGCTTAACCAGGGGGAAGAGCTCAGTAGCTCCATCTGAAGTGGGAGGACTCCTGGCCTGGAGAGACAAGGCCAAAGGCCGAGCTGAGGACGCCTGCACTCCGGTCGGCTGGCACGGCAGGTGCGTGTTGCATACAAAGTCCAGAAGAAAAAAAGAGGCCTAGAAATCCCACTCTGACCACAGGCGAGATTTGTCCTGCCTGGGTCAGTTACTTTAAAGTCATCTTATTTCTGAAAGCCTGGCTCCTGGTGGATGCTTTACAGCTGTAAATATTCCAGCTGACTTGGGCTACGTGGCAGGCGCCTGCTCCTGGGACCCGGCGGCTGCTGTCTGAAACACGCACGGGGCGGCTCACAGCACTCACCTGCCTCTGAAACAAACCAAGTGTCTTCGGGTGGGATTTGGGGGGCGAGCCTTGGCTGAGGGGCTGATTTTTGTTTTCTCATTTTTAGCAAGCAAACGGAAATTGCTCCCTGGGTAGAGAACCCAAAGCAGCACGTGCCAGGCTGAACAGGCCCAGAAACCCCTGTTTTCCCAACTTACTCTTTTTCTTCTTCTTCGTCCCACCAAGAGCCGAGTGCAGGGCATTGAGAAACCAGGAGAGGAAGTCAACGCCATCGCCTAAAGACAGGGAGACATTGAGGAAAACAGGTCAAAGCAACAAAGCCATAGAGAAACCACAACGGAGAGTTTATACGGAGCCCGTTACCCGGCCCCGTATGATGGCAATTGCAATTAAAAGTTTAAGTCTTGACCAGTTTGACTTTGTACTGCTGCTCTATAAGGCACCTCGTGCGCCGTGTCCGCTGCCCAATATTATCCCACTGCTAAGAACAAGAGAATGGCCACACTGGGTCAGACCAAAGGGCCATCCAGTCCAGTGTCCTCTCTGCCCACAGTGGCCAGTGCCAGGTGCCCCAGAGACAGTGAACAGAGCAGGGAATCCTCAAGTGATCCCCCCGTCATCCATTCCCAGCCCGACAGAGGCCAGGGACACCATTCCTACACATGCTGGCTAATAAGTGTTGATGGACCAAACCTCCATGAATGTATCTAGTTCTTTTTTGAACCCTGTTAAAGTCCTAGTCTTCACAACATACTCCGGCAAGGAGTTCCACAGGTTGACTGTGCACTGCGTGGAGAAAAACTTTTTGTTGGTTTTAAACCTGCTACCTATTAATTTTATTTGGTGGCCCCTAATTCTTATGTTATGGGAACAAGTAAATAACTTTTCCTTATTCACCTCCTCCACACCAGTCATGATTTTACAGACCTCTATCCTATCCCCCCTTTGTCTCCTCTTCTTTAAGCTGAAAAGTCCCAATCTTTTTAATTGCTCTTCATATGGGACCAATTCCAAACCCCTCAGCATTTTTGTTGCCTTTTTCTGAACCTTTTCCAATGCCAAGTCTTTAAGAGCCCAATCCTGTTCCATTTAAGTTCATGGCACATCCCTGCACCGATTTAAACGGAAGCATAATCAAGCCCACATTTTCTTTCAATTCCCTCACAGCGCAGTGTTAACAATCATAGGGCAAGAAACAGCTTGGCGCTACTGCTACCTCTATATGAGACCAGTTCCAGCCATCTCGGAGAGCAAGTTTACAGCACAACATGAACTCAAGGTATGTCGATGCAGAGCCACCATGGTAATTAAATACCAGTGTGGGGCACTGGCGTGTCTCCTGCTGCCAGCCCAGCATGGCAGGACTCCAGGCTTTGAGCTGGAACAGTCAGATGTAAGGAACACAGCATCTACAGACGCTGCACTGACCTAACTGTAGCAGCCTACGGTCTATGCCTCTTGGAGAGGTGGGAAGTCGCCCTTGGGGGCAGGAGCACACTGTAGGTCAATGTGAACTGGTTTAAGTCAAGTGTAGGTCAGGCGTGGATAAATTCCTTTTGTCCTCTGCAAGTGAGAAAAGCCAAGAATTCAGGCTCGCAAGGGGCAGACTAGTCGGGGTGGACCGGCTTCGGGTGGCAGAATGGGGAGAGATGCTACCCAGAGTCACTACATCAGGCTACAAACACCTGACTAGCAATGCGAAGTAACTTAAAAAAAAAAAACTGGTCTGGTAACACTTTATAGAGGAACAAAACATGTAGATGGTATCATGAGCTTTTGTGGGAACAGCCCACTTCTTCAGATGACCGGAGTTTTGAGTTTAGGAGGTGTAGACCCAAAGTAAATAGAGGAGAAGGGGGAAAGGAAAAAAAGGAAAGGGGGGGCGGGAAACAAGGAGCAGAGGTTATGAAAAAAATCAAAGGTAAAAACAGGAAGGCAGAATAGGCAATCAGTAAGTACCTGAAGATTGGATAGTTAAAAGGAAGCAGATAAGGATCAGAAGTGTGCATGCGGAAATAACAGACTTCCTGAATCGGCAGGGCTTCACAAACAGCGGCAAAATCTACTTGCCAGCCCTGCACTGCGCATGACCCGCATTGCGCATGTGCGCACCGCCAGTGAACGGGGCGACCGGCTGAAATCTACTTGCCACAGGCGAGTAGAAACAACGATTTGTTGAGCCCTGTGAATCGGAGAGAAGTTGCTCATCACAAGCAGCTGCTAAATATAAGCTAAATAATGAAATGCCCAACATGCTGAGAGCAGAAACTCTTGTATTAAGGTTTCATGACAGCTGAAGTTAAACTACCGTACCGTTGCGACATACTGGGAAACATCAATCCAAGTCAGGGTCACACCTTTCAATCTAAGGGGGGTTTTCCAAATGGCAACCTTGACTTTTTTTAAATCTCATTTGTAACTAGGCAGTAATTTCTCAGCCATTAGTGAAAGTTTAGCAAGGTGGATCACAAAATCTGAAAAAAATATGAAGTGTTTGGCAAAACAGTTGTCTTGTCATGGTACAGAATTAACAGCCTTAGTCATGTGATACCTAAGGCTAATACGGTTCTATTACCACATTTACTTTAGCAAACCTGTTTCCTGGCTTCTGCAACATCATGCAGAGCTAGTGATCGAGTTTGCGATAATCATCAAGTGATCCATTCCATCATGATCCATTTCATGGCTAAGGACACCACTCCTGCCCAGCCTAGCTAAGGGCCACTGATGGACCAATCCTCCATGAATTTATCTAGTGTTTTTTTTAACCCTGTTAAAGTCCTGGTCTTCATAACATCCTCCTGCAAGGAGTTCCACAGGTTGACTACATTGTGTGAAGAAATACTTTTTATTTTAAACCTACTACCTATTCATTTAATTTGGTAAGCCCTAGTTCTTATGTTAGAGAACCAAGTAAATAACTTTTCCTTATTCACCTCCTCCACACCAGTCATGATTTTACAGACCTCTATCCTATCCCCCCTTTGTCTCCTCTTCTTTAAGCTGAAAAGTCCCAATCTTTTTAATTGCTCTTCATATGGGACCAATTCCAAACCCCTCAGCATTTTTGTTGCCTTTTTCTGAACCTTTTCCAATGCCAAGTCTTTAAGAGCCCAATCCTGTTCCATTTAAGTTCATGGCACATCCCTGCACCGATTTAAACGGAAGCATAATCAAGCCCACATTTTCTTTCAATTCCCTCACAGCGCAGTGTTAACAATCATAGGGCAAGAAACAGCTTGGCGCTACTGCTACCTCTATATGAGACCAGTTCCAGCCATCTCGGAGAGCAAGTTTACAGCACAACATGAACTCAAGGTATGTCGATGCAGAGCCACCATGGTAATTAAATACCAGTGTGGGGCACTGGCGTGTCTCCTGCTGCCAGCCCAGCATGGCAGGACTCCAGGCTTTGAGCTGGAACAGTCAGATGTAAGGAACACAGCATCTACAGACGCTGCACTGACCTAACTGTAGCAGCCTACGGTCTATGCCTCTTGGAGAGGTGGGAAGTCGCCCTTGGGGGCAGGAGCACACTGTAGGTCAATGTGAACTGGTTTAAGTCAAGTGTAGGTCAGGCGTGGATAAATTCCTTTTGTCCTCTGCAAGTGAGAAAAGCCAAGAATTCAGGCTCGCAAGGGGCAGACTAGTCGGGGTGGACCGGCTTCGGGTGGCAGAATGGGGAGAGATGCTACCCAGAGTCACTACATCAGGCTACAAACACCTGACTAGCAATGCGAAGTAACTTAAAAAAAAAAAACTGGTCTGGTAACACTTTATAGAGGAACAAAACATGTAGATGGTATCATGAGCTTTTGTGGGAACAGCCCACTTCTTCAGATGACCGGAGTTTTGAGTTTAGGAGGTGTAGACCCAAAGTAAATAGAGGAGAAGGGGGAAAGGAAAAAAAGGAAAGGGGGGGCGGGAAACAAGGAGCAGAGGTTATGAAAAAAATCAAAGGTAAAAACAGGAAGGCAGAATAGGCAATCAGTAAGTACCTGAAGATTGGATAGTTAAAAGGAAGCAGATAAGGATCAGAAGTGTGCATGCGGAAATAACAGACTTCCTGAATCGGCAGGGCTTCACAAACAGCGGCAAAATCTACTTGCCAGCCCTGCACTGCGCATGACCCGCATTGCGCATGTGCGCACCGCCAGTGAACGGGGCGACCGGCTGAAATCTACTTGCCACAGGCGAGTAGAAACAACGATTTGTTGAGCCCTGTGAATCGGAGAGAAGTTGCTCATCACAAGCAGCTGCTAAATATAAGCTAAATAATGAAATGCCCAACATGCTGAGAGCAGAAACTCTTGTATTAAGGTTTCATGACAGCTGAAGTTAAACTACCGTACCGTTGCGACATACTGGGAAACATCAATCCAAGTCAGGGTCACACCTTTCAATCTAAGGGGGGTTTTCCAAATGGCAACCTTGACTTTTTTTAAATCTCATTTGTAACTAGGCAGTAATTTCTCAGCCATTAGTGAAAGTTTAGCAAGGTGGATCACAAAATCTGAAAAAAATATGAAGTGTTTGGCAAAACAGTTGTCTTGTCATGGTACAGAATTAACAGCCTTAGTCATGTGATACCTAAGGCTAATACGGTTCTATTACCACATTTACTTTAGCAAACCTGTTTCCTGGCTTCTGCAACATCATGCAGAGCTAGTGATCGAGTTTGCGATAATCATCAAGTGATCCATTCCATCATGATCCATTTCATGGCTAAGGACACCACTCCTGCCCAGCCTAGCTAAGGGCCACTGATGGACCAATCCTCCATGAATTTATCTAGTGTTTTTTTTAACCCTGTTAAAGTCCTGGTCTTCATAACATCCTCCTGCAAGGAGTTCCACAGGTTGACTACATTGTGTGAAGAAATACTTTTTATTTTAAACCTACTACCTATTCATTTAATTTGGTAAGCCCTAGTTCTTATGTTAGAGAACCAAGTAAATAACTTTTCCTTATTCACTTTCTCCACACCTGTCATGATTTTATAAACCTCTATCATATCCCCCCCTTGGTCTCCTCTTTTCTAAGCTGCAAAATCCTGGTCTTTTTAATCTCTATTCATATGGCAGCCGCTCCAACTCTTAATCATTTTTGTTGCCCTTTTCTGAACTTTTTCCAATGTTAAGATGTCTTTGAGATGAGGTGACCATGTCTGCACGCAGTATTCAAGATGTTGGTATATCATGGATTTATACAGAGGCAATAAGATAGTGTCTGTTTTTGTCCCTTTTTAATGGTTCCCAACATTGTTTTTTGACGGCCGCTGCACACTGAATGGATGTTTTCAGAGAACTATCCACAGTGACTTCAAGATCATTCTGAGTGGTAACAGCTAATTTAGCCCCCACCATTTTGTACGTATAGTTGGGATGATGTTTTCTAATATGCAGTCACTCTGCATTTATCAACATTAAAATTCATTTGCCATTTTGTTGCCCAGTTACCTAGTTTTGTGAGATCCTGTTGAAGCTCTTCAGAGTCTGCTCTGGTGTTAACTATCTTGAGCAGTTTTGTATCATCTGCAAATGTTGCCACCTCTCTGTTTAGCCCTTTCTCCAGATAAATATGTTGAAGAGGATTAGTTCCACTACTGACCCCTGTGGGACACCATTAGTTACCTCTCTCCAGTCTGAAAACTGACTGTTTATTCCTACCCTTTGGTTCCTGTCTTTTAACCAGTTATCAGTCCATGAAAGGACTTTCCCTCTTATCCCATGACAACTTACTTTACTTAAGAGCCTTTGGTGAGGGACCTTGTCAAAGGCCTTCTGGAAATCTAAGTACACTGTATCCACTGGATCTCTCTTGTCCACATGCTTGATGAAGCCTTCAAAGAACTCTAGTAGATTAGTAAGACTTCATTTCCCTTTAGAGAACCATGTTGACTTTTCCCTCCAAAATTACATTCGTTCAACTCCTGTCCCCATCACCCCTCCTTTACTTACGCTACATCAATGACGTCTTTATCATTTGCACCCATGGCCAAAAAACACTGGCCGAATTCCACCGAGATTTTAACAACCTGCATCCCACCATCAATCTCAGCCTGGACCATGCAGCACAAATCACTGATGGCAAAATCAGTACCACTCTCTACAGGAAGCCCACTAACTGCTACGCCTATTTACATGCCTCCAGCTTCCATCCAGGACGGACCATACGATCCATCATCTGTAGCCAAGCCTTTCGACACAACCGCATCTGCTCCAATCCCACTGACAGAGACCGGAAACTTTAGCACAAATCACTGATGGCAAAATCAGTACCACTCTCTACAGGAAGCCCACTAACTGCTACGCCTATTTACATGCCTCCAGCTTCCATCCAGGACGGACCATACGATCCATCATCTGTAGCCAAGCCTTTCGACACAACCGCATCTGCTCCAATCCCACTGACAGAGACCGGAAACTTTAAGATCTCTACCAAGCATTAGTAAAACTCAATTACCCACTGGGGGAAGTTAAAAAACAGATTGAAAAGGCCAAATGAATACCCAGAAACCAGCTACTCCTAGATAGGCCCAAGGAAATCAACAATAGGACACCACTTGTCATCACCTATAGCCCCCAACTCAAACCCTTCCAATAACCTACAACCTATACTGGAATGCTACACTCCGAGAGGCTCTGGGTGACAGACCAATACTCTCCTATAGACAACCACCTAACCTCAGGAAGATTCTTACTAACAACTACAGGACATACCACATTAAAACTAACCCTGGAACTTTCCTTTGTAACAAACCCCGTTGCCAGTTTTGTCCACATATTTACTCTGGAGACACCATCACTGGACTTAACCATGTCAGTTATATGATCAAGGGCTCATATTCCTGTACGTCCACCAATGTGATATATGCCATCCTGTGCCAGCAATGTCCCTCTGCGATGTATATTGGACAAACTGGTCAGTCACTTCACCAGAGAATCAATTCTCACAAATCAGACATCAGACATCTCCATACAGAAAACCTGTTAGCCAACATTTTAATCAAGCTGGCCATTCCCTTAAAGACCTGAAAACATGCGCCTTACTTCAAAGAGACTTTAACACCAGATTACAGAGAGAGACTTCAGAACTTTTATTTATACTAAAATTCGACACGCTGGGAATGGACCTTAATTTAGATGGTAATTACCTTACACATTACTAAGACAGCCTCCTCACCTCTTGATATTCATAGTACTCAAGATTAGCTACTTAATTGACTCTGACAATAAGCAATTTCCTGCTTCCTTGTCTGGTCCTCATTCCCTCGCCCCCACCTTCTGTAGCTGATTTTTTATCGTATAATTTGTTTACTTCTTCATTGTATCCCTTTTGTTATATAACAGTCATGCCAATTCACTTTCAGAGTATGATCTGAAGAAGCGGGTCTGCCCCACGAAAGCTCATCACCTAATAAACCATCTTGTTAGTCTTTAACGTGCTACATGACTGCTTTTTTTGTTTTACCATGATCAGACTAACCTGGCTACCTCTCTGTTACTTTTCTTCTATGTGTCTGCCAATTCTGTTCTTTATTATAGTTTCAACTAATTTGCCTGGTACTGATGTTAAACTTACCTGTCTGTAGTTGCCGGGAACGCCTCTAGAGCCCGTTTAAATATTGGTGTCACATTAGCTATCTTCCAGTCATTGGGTACAGAAGCTGATTTAAAGGACAGCTTATAAATCACAGTTTCTACTTCCGCAATTTCCCTCGGACGTTCTTTCAGAACTCTCGGGTGGATGCCACCTGGTCCTGGGGACTTGTTACTGTTTAGTTTAAAGGAGGTCTTGGAACAAATTGATGACCCCTCAGTCCGGGACAATTCTTCAGATTTGTCACCTAAAAAGAATGGCTCAGGTTTGGGGATCTCCCTGACACCCTCAGCAGTGAAAACTGACGCAAAGATTTCATTTAGTTTCTCTGCAATGACCTTATTGCCCTTTAGCATTGCAATTGTCCAAGGGCCCCACTGGTTGCTTAGCAGCTTCCTGCTTCTACTGGACTTTAAAACATTTTGCTATTACTTTTTGAGGTTTTGGCTAATTGTTCTTCAAATTCCCTTTTGGCTTTTCTTATTGTATTTTTACACTTCATTTGACAGAGTTTATGCTCCTTTCTATTTTCCTCACTCGGATTTAACTTCCACTTTTAAAATTATGCCTTTTTATCTCTCCCTGCTTCTTTTACTTGGTTGTTAAACAATGGGGGCACTTTTTTGGTTCTCTTAATGTATTTTTTAATTTGGGGTATACGTTCAAGTTGAACCTCTATTATGGTGTCTTTGAAAAATGTCCATGCAGCTTGCAGGGATTTTACTTTTGGCATTATATCTTTTAATTTCTGTTTAACTAACCTCCTCATTTGTTGTGTAGTTCCCCTTTCTGAAATTAAATACCAGTGCTGGGCTGCTGAGGTGTTTTTTCCACCTCTGGGATATTCAATTTTTATTATATTATGGTCACTATTTCTAAGCAGTCCAGCTATATTCACCTATTGGACCAGATTCCATGCTCCATTTAGGACTACATCAAAAACTGCCTCTCCTCTTGTGGGTTCCAGAACCAGCTGCTCCAAGAAACAGCCATTCCTGGTGTCAAGAGACTTTCTCTCTGCATCACATACCCAGTCAATATAGAGACAGTTGAAATCTCCCATTGAGTTTTTTATAGCTCTCTAATCTCCATTAGCATTTCATAGTGACTATCACTATCCTGGTCAGCCATACACCCCTACTGCTACATTCATATTATCAGAGCATGCAATTACTGTCCATAAAGACTCTAAGGAACAGTTTGGTTCATTTAAGATTTTTTCTTCAGTGTTTTATCATGCTTCCCTGTCTGTCTGTAGCCACCTCCTGTCTCCTTCCTCACACTCATTTGTAAGGTCTTTGTGGGCAGGGTTCATCACTTTGCTCTGTCCGTACTACACTTCAGATGACCGGTCCAGGGCTTAGATCCTAGTGCAGTACATGTATGTACCCTGGGGCTGTGGGCATCACAGAGGGGGCTGCTCAGCGTTCGGGTGGCACTGAATGTTAATTTCCTGCTCAGGATAGACTCACATTAGAATCCAAGCAAAGGAAATCCAAAGAGAAAATCCAAATGTAATGTAAAGCCCATTGCTTCACAGACCTTGCGGGCTAGGAACAAATGTTTTATACCTGGCAGGAAGAGCAACATGAAAGTGGTAAAAAGCCTTTTTCATCCCTAGAGCTGTGGAAGAAATGAGCTCTCTAGTCCATCATAGGTCCACTGATCTAGTACTATTTTGATCCCAGCCCGGGGACAAACACAGCCCAACCAGGACCTCAGCTTCTCCATTGGCAGTGTCATGCTGCAGATAATACACAAAGCTGCAAACCACTGCTCTAGGCTGGAGGAGAAGGGCCTGCTAAAGATCTCCCCATGGTCTCACCTTGCTTGGTAATCTGGAAGGTTTTCTTGCTGCAAAGGACTACGGCCTGCAGCATTTCATGGGGAGAGACATGAGCCTTGAAATTACGGGGGTTCCACAGCTTCCTCATCAGCTCTCCAAACCTCTGCACGAGCAGGAACATGATGTCCCCCGGCGGGCGCTTGATGTTCTTGTAGTTCTCCTCCTCCAGGAAGTAGTTCCGCAGAGGTGGGACGTTAGACAGGGCCTGGGCACAGACATCGAGAGGTCAGTGGCAAAGAGCTCACTCAGCCCCGCAAGCCCCTCAGCAGCAGGCCCAGAACTCTCCCAACCAAAAGCACTCAGCCTCCAGCCTCGTCTGATTCCAAGCAAATGAGGACTGAGTAAGTGGGAGCCAGCAAACTGACTGTGGAAACATGGAGAGGATTTCCTTTCATACTCCTGATATTCCCCCCACAGGACACGAGGGTAAGGGGTAGAGAAAATCTGCAGAGATTCAAATTCTCATGCAAGACAATGTAACAGTCTGGCTCTACAGACAGGGATCTAGATTCACCTTTGGAGAATACACACAGATAACAGGATGCTGCTGATCTTTTCGGCCATATTTTGTTTCAGGAATAATGTATCATTTCCAGCATCTGTGATCATACAGCAACGTTAAAAGGGAAGAAACCTCCCCCAGCAATTATTCTCAAAAGCATGGCACCATGCCAGTGGCCACACTGGCAAAACACACTTCCACTCAGCCACGGTAGTGGCCCACATTAAGTTTGCTCTGCGTGTGGGAACTCCCTGGCAATTACTAAATGAAGGTTTTAAATCTCATCAGATTTTGGCCAACCTGGAGAAAGAGCCCAACTGCCCTGCAATGGAGCAAGCTGCAGTCACTCCTCTTGACCACAGACACTACAAATCCCACCGTGCAATGAGTAGTCCACCTTGAGCCAAGAAACACGGCCATATCACTCGGCTCGTCCTGAAGGAGGGTGGGGTCTGAGACGTAGAGCGCCCAGGGGGTGGGGGTGCACACAGTTTGCCTCTCTTTACGGGTCTCCCCACAGAGAGCATGACGACAGCTACTGTACCTGGAGCACCGCATTGGCATAGTCATTGGCCTTGATGTTGTTCAGCCCCACAATGCCAGGCAGGTAGGTGGTGCCATCGTACGCCCGAGACAGTTTGGCTTGCTTGTCCAGATTAGCAATTTGCTGCTTGGTGAAAGTGGGCTTCAACACGTACTGGAAGAGAAAGGCAACGCTGGAAGTCATTGCTGGAATGAAGAGCAGCGATGGCAACCCAGGCTGGTGAGTGGGCTGCATGAGGGGCCTCCTTTCTCACAGTGGGCCACAAGGACAGGGTAGCTCTGCTAACTGCACCTGTGCACCTGGAGTTTGCGGGGGGCGCCGACTGGACCACAGCGGCAATCTGAATGCCAAGGGAGAGCACGGCTCTCACAGTCAAAGCTGCGTGTAATCAGCGCGCACCCCATGGCACGCGCCCTGGCTGCAAGTCAGCATCGCTTCAGTAATACTAGTAGGAAAAAACTGTGCAATTGGCCACCCGTGGAATCATGGGCAACCAAATGTCTGGCAGGCCACACACAGAACCCCAAAGGGCCATATGCGGCCCTCGGGCCTCAGGCTGAAAGCGTTTTTACATCAGCTTGTGGACCTGACTGTCAGTACCACGTTCCAGGCCAGATTCGCTGCGTGGAAAGCTCATTCCAACTAGCACATCCCTCAAACGCTGCTCACACTTCAAAGTGATCAGAATTAAGAGTCTGAAACAAGGTTTTTGAGGTATGACCAACAGAAGAGAGTTTCCTATTTTTTTCTACATGTCACTGGAACTAGCTTTTAAGCAAAGTACCCCCCAGCACATTCACAACGCCAACACTGGGGTACCCACAGCCATAGGGAAACGGATGATGGGGTGGGAAGACAGATTCCATTGGCTTTCACTGGCCAAGCAAGGGAAATGCAAAACTAGAGTGAGAAAGTATGTATTTTTAAGATTCAGTGTGAGGATGCAAGCTCTTCCCTGTAACTGAAGTAAAGGTCTCTGGGCTCCAAGCATCCGGAGGACATCACTAGTGCCTGGCATGAAAAGACACGTACCCAACACTGAAAAGCTCTTGCTACATCCCCTGTATGGCACAGGGACTCGTGCGGTTCATCAGTATCTCCATACAAGAAAGTCTAAATAAATGATGACTTCCCTTTTCAAGATGTCCCACCAGGCCTCCCTGCAGTGAGTTACAGGAACAATTCCACCAGCTCTTCTGGTCTGAGCAAGTCTGCCCTGACCCCCGGAGAGCAACGGGCCAGTGTGTGTCTGGACTGCATGGCACAACCAGCAGCCGGTCATGCCAGTACAAACCATGCTGTCCCCTGGAAAAGCACATTCATACGCTCTGCAGTGATACGGGAGGGAGCCACCCTGCCCCCCCAGCCACACCCCACTGACCGTGATGTCCTCCAGCGAGGAGTCGATGATCTCGTAGTTATCTGGCAGACAGTAGAACTTGAGGGTGTGGAGGTTCAGAAAGACGTGGTGGCTGAACTGCACGCTGTGAATGTAAGCGTGTGACTTCAGCCCTCGGCCTGTGGAAGGGGCAAGACAGGCAGGTCAGGGACAGGGAGTGCAGCGGAGAAGCCAGCGAGTCAGCGCAGACTAGGCTACCGGCGCTTCTATTGCACTGCCACGACCGTGGAGGGCTGGCCAGAGCAGGGGCTGGCTTTGTCCTTCTCTGGAAACTGCATGAATTATTGAGACACAAATGCTGTCTTCTGGGCTGCAGGAGCTGTTTCAATGTTATCTCCGCTCCAGAGATGCAGCATACTTCACTGCTAGCGACACCTCCCTCCATTCATCCCCGCCCCAGAGAGGCTGGCCGGGCTCTAGAGAAAGCTTGCTCAGCCCCTTGGAGGCAGGAACAAATAGACAAGTTCAAAGCAACAGGAGGTGCCAGAGGATGGTGGGAAAACTGTTACATTACATCATGGGGATGGTGAGGTGCTTTACGGAGCAAGGCAAGCTGCAATCCAAGGGAGAATCTCAGCTACTTCCATGCCCCACTTGCATTGCTATTCAGAAGGAATAAGCTAGAATTCTCTGAGCATCTAACACAGCAGAGAACAGTCCTTGAGGGGGAAATGGAATTATTTTTGGGGGAGGGGTTGGTACATTGATGGAAGATGAATCTTCAAACATCTCAGAGGTAGCTTTCCACAATCCAGGCTGGGATTTAGCTACAAGAACCCCGGGATCCAGTCGCAGGATTTCTACTACTATTAAAATGGGAGACCTGTCACTTCCCACTGATCATTAGTTTCTAACATTCAGTTATTTACCATGCTACTTTCTTTTGAACCCCACATGGTGTCACTAAAACGAAATAAGACACAGGCCCTGTTGATTGCAAGGGGACTTTGCAAAGAAGGAACCACAGAACAGCAGGGGCATGAGCTAAGCACACGTTCAGATGAGCAATACATCCACGCCAGTCACGCACATTTGCTATAACCCTTGCACAAGCCACAGTAATGGCTAAGAAAAGGTTCTTTGATATTCTGACAATAATTTGAATGGAAAATAGCTTTAGAAATTCAGGGCCCACAGGAAAAGGCAAATTCTCACTTAAGATAAATTGAATGTCCTTCTAAGTGCCCCCCAAGTGTTCAGAGCCCAGTTCAGTGCTTCTGCTGCTGCAGAGGCAGGTCTACGGGAATGCACTCACCCTGGAAGTACTTCCCACACACCAGACAAGCATAGACATTTATATGCGAGAGCGAGATGGAGCACAGCTTCTCAAAGTCAAAGTCCAGAACGCTCCTGAAATGGCAGGTTAATAGCGAGTTAGCAGAACAACCATGAAACAGACAAGCTAATATTGCCTACGGAAGTAGGGTCTAGACTCTATGACCTGGAACAGGGGCAGCAACCCTTCTGAAGCAGCGTGCCAAGATTTAACCCTCTTGCCCTGGGCCACGCCACTCTCCTGGGAGGGGAGGAGGGGCTCTCTCCACCATGCACCCTGCTTGGTCTCCTGCCCAGGGCTCCGCTCCAGCTTTTCTTGTGATGCTTTCATGGTTTCATTTTTTTTTTCCACAACGTTTAATATTAAACATAAAAAAGGTAAACATAAAAAGAGAAACCCAAAATATACACCCTACATCCGTTTGTCACTTATAAAGCAACTAAAACAATAAAATTATCATTAAAATAAAAATTTTAAAATAATTATAAGTATTCCTATGAAATGCAAAAAATAATACTTCTTACTTAAAATCTTTTAAAAGCTTAGAAAAGGCCACCAGCTGGGCAGTTTAAAAACAAAAGCCAACCTAGCACGTGCACATGCACATCAACATAAACCAATAAAGCCCAACTATTAAACTCCTATTCAAAACAGGGATGTGAATGGTTAACATCACCCTTAATGGGTGATGCTTGCTACTTACGGTCAATGGGCTGTTCCAGCTCTCTGGGGGGCTCTGGCATGCCACAGGAAGGAAGGCTCCACCCTGGCAGGATCAACCCCCACCCTGGCAGTGGCCAAAGGGGCTGTCACTGTCTGACACGTGCCCTCTGGCTCTGGCCCCGGCCAGGCCACCAGAGCAGCTGCCGCCCAACATGTGACCGCCATACATGTAGGGTGGAGGGAGCGGAGCTTCTGCTGCATGCCATAAGTGCAGTAGGTTGCCAACCCCTGACCTAGAAGGTCCCCGCCAGTCCTACCTTCTCATAAACCTGACAGAGTCCATGAGAACCAAGGTCAACAGAAAACTGATCAGGGCTGATCCATGCCACAGTGCTGGCAGGCTATACCTCAAATATGAGGGATCCCCTTTCCCCATTTCTGGGCTCTCACAGGAACTAAGATCCCACATCAATTTAAAAATCAGAACTGCAGCTCAACCCATCCAGCATCCCTTGCTATTCCAGTCCTGCCCCTTCGGCTGGCATTGCTCGACCTTTGCAGCTGCAGCTCCCTCCAGCCCTGTAGCACCAGCTGAGACTGCTAATCCAGAGAACGCTTGGGGTTCTTCGTGGGTACCAGCCACTCTCACAGACACGGACGTATTAGGACCCTGTGCTTTGTCTCTGCTGACCTGTTAATAGTGTCCAGGTACGGGCAGTGTCTGCTGCGCCGGTCCTCGGGGTCGAATCGGCCGTACCTCACTGGAACAAACACACACACACCACATGGATAAGCATCAAAAGCCCGGCCGAGGAATTAGCCGTTTGCCTGAAGTTGTGCCTGCGTGAAAGCAATGCAGTCCCTGGCTCACCTGGCCCAGCTCCA